TAAAAGCTGCCGCACGAGCCCCAATGTCTTGCGCCGTCGAGAACCTCTGAACCCGCTTCAGTAACGTAACATCATCCTTTTCTAATTCCCCAAGAGAAGAAAAGGAGAAGGGAATGAAACCGTATCCATTTGCCTGACAACGAGCTTCATACTTAGCCCGCTTCTGATGAGCCGCTTCAGCCACAACTCGTCCATGGACAAAGTCAGCTAGCCCTGACTGCATCAAAGGGGAAGAACCTATGAAGTCAACACATACATCACGACCACGATCCCATGAGTAAAGTAACACATCGGCAGGTCTGAGGACCCCGCCATTTCCTCCAGCCAATCCTACGTCAACCTCCTTTCTTACTGAAATACCAGATTTGTAGCAAATATCCACAAAGGTATCCCGAACAACATTATGCCGATGTTTAACACCCACAATACCAGCACACGACACAGCGTGGTCGCCGAAAAAATCCCCTGAAAAAACCCGAGAACAAGCAGAGCACGACGTCGAGATAGAGAACAATGGAACACCCAGTCGGTAGCACAACACACATCGGTATGTCTTCGTGTTCATCGTCTGACCCAACCCAGAAATAGGGACAGCCCGTAGCCAAGCAGAGGTGTGAACCCCTTGCTGCGATTTCCACAAAGCTAACTGGCGAGGAGATAAAGAGAAGGTAGACTCTGCAGATGCGGTAATCTTTGTGAAATATATATCTTCTAATTTCTTCATGAGTTAAAGGGCAGCGACCTCACTAGGATTACTCAAAATGTCAGACTCAACCACTCCATTATAAAGGAGCAACACATCCTTGAAGGCTCGACCAAGGCCAACAACACCAGCATGTTGTAGAATCTTAGTCTGCAATCCAGCAGACTGCAACCGAGAGGCAAGAAAGGCATAATGACGAACATCACCTGCAGAATAAACACCAAGTCCGCCAAACGCAAACGGTAAGGTGGCAAGCCGACACTGCCAATCACCAAACCCAGGCCCGGAAGCAGTAACGATACGCTCCAAGGAAGATCGAAGAGCCTCGTCGAAAGCGCGCTGAGCCACCTCAAAAGTACTAGGGGGACAAGTATGCAAAGCAAAGTAGAGCTTAGAAACTCCGGTACAGGCCCTAAGTAACAACAACTCACACTGGGGATCATCAAGCGAAGCCACCTTATCCATAAGAGCAACGGTCTTGGTTACCCTCTGCATCACCAGGTCACCTCCATAACCGGGATCAGAACTAGTTGGACCACCAAGCAACTTAACACCACGTGAAGGTCGAGCAATAGTAGGTGGAAAGACACCCACAAGCCTGCTACGGGGGTCCTCTGAAGGCCTTAATAATTCAGTCTTTTCCACATTCAGATTTAACCCAAAACGAGGCCCTTTCTCCATGATCAACTGCAGAACCTTCCCCACCTCCAAAGTGTCACCAACAATAGTGTCGTCGTCTAAATACCACGCCTGAAGACATAAGTTAAAAGCATCTCTAATTTCACAAACCAGGGGCTGTAAAACCAAAGGAAAAAGAAGAGGACCGAGGGGGTCACCCTGCTGCAGCCCCTGACACGACCATAAGGTTTGGTCTCCATAATACAATCTGGCTGGACTGGAATAGCAGAATTCAACCCAACGCGAAATGCCCGGACAACGACGTCGAACCTCACGCAACATGACCACGCGATCAACAAGATTGAAGGCATTTTGGAAATCCACCAACAACATAGAAAGACCAACTTCAGAACCACGATCCTCAATCAACCGATTCACAGCATGAACAATGGCCTCACCACCAGAAGGAACCCCAACGCCAAACTGTAGACCATCAAAGCAGCTCCCTAAAGACTGGCCAACCATAACAGCGCCCACCTTCGAGACCAGGCGCCGCCAAATAGTACCCACCGCTATAGGACGAATACCACCATCGGACTTGACAAGCGGTGTAAGAGGAGCACTTGCAATATACTCTCCAAGTTCCATAGGACACTTACCAGCAAGAAAAAGATTAACTACCGCTGAAATAGACTCCACTAACTCATCTGAAACAGCCACAGCAGCACCACCCAAGCAATCCAATAGATGTTGAGCACGAAAACCATCCCTACCACATGATGTGCCACGGGGAAAACTCTTAATCCGATCCAAAACAACAGCGGAGGAAGTAACGAGATGATGACCATCAATATCTATATCAGGCAAGGATGGAGCAGGAAAAGAAGGATGTTTAGACTGTAAACCCAAGAGAGTGGCGTCATTATAAGGAGCAACTCCAGAAGAAGAAAGAACCCGGACTGCAGCAGTGTAATGGCCATCACAAATCTTCCTACGACATTGCTTGATATTACGCTCCTCCAAATCAAAGTCCTCATCCACTGAGAAAGTAGGAGAATCCTCTGCCAAAGTATCTCTCACAAGCTGCAAAATACCACCCGGTGCACTCCAGGAACAAATAGCGCGCGAAATACTCTCTTCTTGAAGTCGACGCTTTGCCGAAGACCTAGACTCAGAGCTGCTCCGAGGGCGAAAGGTTTTAAGGATGCAAAGAGGTAGCACCAACAAAGAGACCCAACTAGAAATATCATTAGGCCTAAAGATCACCTTATCAAGAGCACCTTTCAGAACCCGAGAGAAACCCAACCGACACTTGGGAGGTATAGACTTCACAGTGCGAAGCCCCTTGGAGAACAGACGATCAAGAAGAGCCACATCAAAACAACATTGATCTTGCACCAAACCACCCATGCGCCCAAGCGAAGTCGGAGAAGAGGGAGCTTGGGGCTTGGAGAAACCATGGAGCACAAAACGAACAACACCATCTCCTTCATCCGGGGGTGACACATACTCACTCGTACTATGACGACACTTAGTACGGTGTGTATGCGTTTTGAAGCAAACCCCACATAACCAATGCCCCATACGCGACAAAGTAGCCTCAGCTTCAGTATAGACCGCCAAATTAGAAGTAAGAGAATGTCGTGTGATATCACGAGCACCCATACAAAAATGACGATCACTAAGGTGCTTGAGAAGATAATTACTAGTAAGGCCATTACCACGTCCATCCTGACAGCCACTAAGACCCACAAAGGGGCAATGAAACTTCACCGACATGGCTACACGCCACCACCATAAACTACAGTAAAAAAAACACCCCAAAAACACCAACAAATAACACCCAAAATGAACCCAAAACTGCTACAAAGAACCCTCAAATAAACACCCAAAACTGCCTCAAGGCTGCACCAAAAACACCACCAAAGCTGCACACAAAAGGTCCACAAACCTGCAAAACAACACCCAAAGACGGCACCAAAAACCACAGCAAAACGCACCATAAACTGCAGATAAAACCGCACCAAAGCTCACAGCAAAACCGCACAGAAACCACAGCAAAAACGAAGCAAAAACCGCACCAAAAACGCACTTAAACTCACAGCCAATAACGCACCAAATATGGACCAAAACTCACAGCCAAAAGCGCACCAAAACCACAGCAAAAACGCACCAAAACAACCACCAAAAACGTACCTTTAAAAGTCGCCGGAAAGCAGCCAGAAAACCACCGCGTAAGACACCTGAATGAACCCACATACGCCCCTGAAAACCGATCAAAAAACGACCCCGAAACTGCCTGCACGACGCGCGGAAAGAAGACTGCAAAACGAACACAAAACGCCTGGAAAACCACCGGAAAAGGACCTGAGAATCACTTGTCCTGAGAAGCCGACCACCTGACCTCGCCTGATCGTCCTTTCGCCGTAGTTGCTGCTTGAAACCTCGCCGGAAACTGACGCCCTAATCGCCCCCCCCCCACGAGAGAAAAAACGTTTATTTATTATTATTATTTATATTATAATTATTATTATTATTATTATTATTATTATTATTATTATTATCTCAAAAACAAAAAGTCATACAATCTACAATAAATTAGTGGGAAGCCGAGATACAATCTGGGCTCCCACTCCTTTAGCTATAGAAAAATCTACCCTAGTGAAGATAAAAGTTGCCGCAAGAGCCCCAATGTCTTGCGCCGTCGAGAACCTCTAAACCCGCTCCAGTAACGTAACAACATCCTTTTCTAATTCCCCAAGAGAAGAAAAGGAGAAGGGAATGAAACCGTATCCATTTGCCTGACAACGAGCTTCGTACTTAGCCCACTTCCAATGAGCCGCTTCAGCCACAATCCGTCCATGGACAAAGTCAGCTAGCCCTGACTGCGTCAAAGGGGAAGAACTTGTGAAGTCAACACATACATCACGACCACGATCCCATGAGTAAAGTAACACATCGGCAGGTCTGAGGACCCCGCCATTTCCTCCAGCCAATCCTACGTCAACCTCCTTTCTCGCTGAAATACCAGATCTGTAGCAAATATCCATATGTTATTATTATTATTATTATTTGATTTTTTTAAAGATTTTTTTTACTCTTATTATAACATTAAAAATGTGTTAAATAATATAAAATACTCCCTCCGTTCCTGAAAGTTTGACTCACTTTGCATTTGCGCGGTCTCTAATGAACATCTTTGACCATGAATATTTTCAGCTATGTATAAGTAAAAATTATAAAAAGTTGATATTTGAAAAATTTATAATAATGGGAATATTATAAGATCTCATATGCTAATTTATTTTTTTTGTATAAGTCATTAAATATGGTCAAAGTTATTTTATTTTGACCCATGAATAGTAAGTGAGTCGAATTTTCAGAAACAGAGGTAGTATTAATTATTATCATTAAATATTAGTTATTATTATCAATTAATATTATATACTAATTATTATTATAATAATAAAATATTAATTATTATTATTATCTATAAATATTAGTTATTATTATTAAATATTAATAATAATTATTATTATTTTTATTAAATATTAATTATTATTTTTAAGCAGAGTAGGACATTTCAGCAGAGCAGAGTAGAGTAAAACAACTCAAAAGAATAGGGCCGTAGTGTCATACTAGTTGAACCAAATACCCCGCAGGCCCGCACAAATACACGGTAGCTTTTGTACCGGGTAGCCGAGCTTTTCGACATGAATTTATGATGCCATTTCCAAACAATTGCAGCGGGCAAACACTCTATCTCCCACTACATCTCTTTCTTCCCTTTTTCTTCTTTCTTTTCTGCTACTTTTCTCTCTCTTCACTATCTCTTCAATTCTGCAACTCTAGATTTAACTCAATTTAGGTTATCAAATCTTCCCTAAAACAATGCATTGGGACTTAATCTTATGGCTAATTGCCCTAGCCTCCAACATCGCCCTCCTCATTCTCCTCATTTACCAGGTTAGTTTCAATCTTTCCAAAACCTATTTCTCTAATTTTTTATGTTCTTCCCCACTTTTACTAGATTATGTGTTTAACATTTTTTATTGTTATGATTGTTGCAGTTGATTTGTTTGTCGGATTTGGAGGCTGATTATTTGAATCCATATGAGACGGCATCGAATATCAATTCTTTGGTTTTACCAGAGTTTGGATTGCAGGCAGCCTTTTCTGCTCTTTTTCTTGTTACTGGGCATTTCTTGATGTTTCTTGTCACTCTTCCTGTTGCCATTTATCATGCTAGATTGTAAGTAGTTTTTAAATTGGGTACCTTATTATTAATTTCGGATTTTAATTTATTATTTCGTAAATGATATGCTATGTATGTGTAGTATTGGTAGTCTTGTGTGATAGTGATAATGGTGGGAGATTAAAATCCTACAGGAGGTCAGGGGCGAGGGTTGAATCGTCGAAAGGGGTTTGTGAGAGCAGAATTGATAGTGGGTAGTGCAGAATTGCTGAATAATTGCTACAGAATTGATGAGATGGGTTTTGCCATCTGTGTAGAAAGTGAGGCTTAAGTTAAGTCTGAGTTGAGTTGCATGAGGTTTTGATTAAAGACTGTACAAGTAATAGTATATATTCTCGCAACTATGTCAAATTATGGTTCCATGATTGAACTTTGCTTCTGATGGAGGTTTTTTGGTGGGTGGGTAGGGTTGTTTCAGATGTATGCCGCGTAAACATGTGGTGCTGCCTAGAACAATTAAAAAAAATAGAATGCATCTATGATGGACTATCTTTTAAAATCAAATATGGCCTTTTAGAGCTGATGTAAGAGTTAGTGGTAGATATGATTGAACATTGAGCTCCTTGTTTATTCTCTTAAAGATGAAATTCAGTGTTTTAGACAGATTAGGGAAAGGATGAATGAGGATGGCTTGATTGATTAAGCAAGCTTGCACAATAAAATTCAGTGTTTTAGACAAGATTGAGCTTGGTGCTAACTTAAGTCCAAATTTTTGTCAAGTTGCTTGCTTCTTGCCGTGATGTATCGATTAGCTTCAGTAGCTATATTTGAACTTTCAAAATCAGACATGGTTGTAGGAAAAAGAGTTGTTAGTCCCTTAGATCTTTCTATATTCTTGGGTAATTTTGAGGAAAGGCTTTAGTTCCCCCCCCCCCCCTCCACCCTCTAAATTTCTACTGACATTTAAGGTCCCAATAAAGTGAGAAAAGCTAAAGCTTTTGTTTGAATGAAAATGTTGGATAAATTTAACAGCAGTGGTAAATTTTACCTCCCCCCCCCCCCACCCTAAATTTCTACTGACATCTAAGGTCCCAAAAAAGTGAGAAAAGCTAAAGCTTTTGTTTGAATGAAAATGTTGGATAAATTTAACATCAGTGGTAAATTTAACCTTTTAGAGACCAATTAGGCCTATCTAGTTTATGTTGTAAAAAGTGGCTATAATGTTTAAGATTCATCTGTGGATCGAGAGCTGGGCAATTCTATGTGGCATAGACTTATTGGCAATTATATGTGCCCATTCATGCAATGGGAAGGAAATTTTGGACCTGCATCTTTTTCAACTATGCATGTAATTCTCTGTCAATGGTCGACTTATTTGTCAATTATACCATCTCTAGGACTATGAATCGGCAAAGCACTTGCCACTACTTCCCCTAGTGACAAGATTTTGAGATTAGTTACATGTACTTCATAGATTATTTTTGTCTTAGAAATACAACAACAACAACAATAACAACAACAACAACAAAGCCTTAATCCAAAATGATTTGAGGTCGGCTAACATGAATCGTCATAAGGAATCTATTTGTCTTAGAAATGTCACACGGAAAAAAAGTTGTGGTCTCTTAAAACTAAGAAGAAGCCGATTCCAAAGCCTTAGTCCAAAATCATTTGAGGTTGGCTAACATGAATCGTCATAAGGAATCTATTTGTCTTAGAAATGTCACCCGGAAAAAAAGTTGTGGTCTCTTAAAACTAAGAAGAAGCCGATTCCAAAAGCTCAATATGAATTCTATTTAGCAAGAAGTTAGTGTAGTAAATATTTATTGCATCATGAATGCGGAACAAGTGCTTGAGCACTGGGAAAATAATAGTTGCACACATGAACTTTAAGGATAAACACTTCTAGGGTTTGTGCTGCCTTGTTGTTTTTATAACAGGACCAGGATCAGATGTCTGTGTAGAGTTCAAGTTCAGATATGCCTATTTCTGTTGATGTTTATTGATGTCTTGTAGGACTTCATCCACCTGGAAAAAGTTTCTGTGTCACATGCATATTTTTGGGAAGCACTAGTGTGTCATTTACTTTAGGAAAAGTGTCTTTCAATTTAATAGGAACTTATATAAGGATTCAATAATTAAATTTAGCCTTGTTTTACTCTAGCTATAGCTATAGCCATCAGATAAACACAGTTGTGCCACTTTTTCTGAGGCACATTAATTTATTTTATTATTTTTTTTTCTAGGAACAACTGTTTTCAGGTTTGTCTGAAATGGTAGTGAAGCCAAGTTGCAATTTTTGATGAAGGTTAATAATTAGATTGAGTCTCCTATTTACTTGTACAATTCTTACAGTGCCTTAAGTTTCACTAGAATTCAGTGACCATCTAAATCTTACTCGTAGGCTCCTAATATAAGATCATGTGATTCAGATACAAGAGTTGCAAATCTTGAGATGAGAGAGCTGTCGTAATAAAGAGTCAGAGAAATTAGTAGGAAGTTGTGTATGACGAGCTTGATTCAGTGATGGACTGAATGACTGGTAATGGTCCAGGATCGAGCGATGCAGCTATAATTGGGAGAATCAAGTGTTGATACTTGATAGTGCAGAAATTTATTGTTTCATATCTTGAAGGGCATTTTCTTTTTGGAAAAATATGGGCTAATTTTTATTTTGGTTGTGGTCCTTGTGGAGCAATGGCTAGGGTGGGTTGGCTGTAAGCTGATAGATTTTCTATTGGTTTTACAATTAATGTCTTCCTTATGTGAAAGATTGTTATGAATTGTTAGATGTTTATTATTACTACTCCTTTTCCAGATTTCTTTAATCTTCCTTTTCCCTGTTTGGCTGAGCTGGGGATTGGTATTAGGTTTTTGTTTTATTGTTGTTGCAGTTTCAAATAGCTACTGATGGCCTGAAGCCTGTGATTGATTACTTTAGTATTCAAATAGCAAGTAGGAATTATCTTCTTATGCATTTTGTGAATTTCTGCTATTATTGGCTTGCTTGATTTGGTTCATGGATAGTTTGTTACAGTTACATTATTGCATCTGTTTATGAATGTTGATGGTGATGAGGAATATAATTGAATTGTTTGTTAATTAGTTTTTGTTGTGTATGGCTTTATGTTAGCCATCAAAATCAAGTATAAAGTCAGTGTTCGGATTTCTGAATAGGTCCTGTTTTTGCACTTAACCATCTTATATTTGAAGTTTTTTTTTTACTTTTCTTCAAACTTGTAACTATGGCCCACATTTTTCTGTCTGATTATTTTATTTCTTTAGTCTTCTCTGATTTTTATATTGGCCAATCCGGCATTGTCTTGGTTTCATTCTTGAGTTGCAAAAGATTTTTTTTTTCAATCGATTTATTCAGAGATCTAAGGGAGTACTTAGTATGGAGTTTCCACTTATGAGTTATGACCCTTTCCCTTTTTAGTTTTGATATTTCTGGATGATGATCATCTACTCATCTAGTGTATGCGCTTATGATTTATTTCTGCCAGAAGTTTCCACTGCATCGACTTGAGCATTTTGTAAACATTTGTAATCATTTGTACACCATATAGAACTGAGTACTTAGTTGAGGAATAATGTTACAATTAAGTCGCAAAAGATTTTTATTAGTCCCTTTCCTCTATGCAACATTAAAAAAATACAATTAGGTTTATCCAAGATGAGATACTATGGTATTTGTAGTTGGTAAATGATAAATTGGAGCGACAGTGACAAAAGTAAGAATCTTGGGAGTCTAGGCTATGTCAGAATAACTAAGCACAAAGAGGGTCATTCTAGTATAGGGAGGGGGTTAAGAGAGGATGTCTTGGCTTAAAATGGTAAGGAGTTACCTAATGGGAATATTTTAAGTGTATCAATCTGGTATTACTAAGATATGGGAATATCAATCATGATGTTACATAATTTTTGTTTTGTGTGGCTCAAATAGGGAGCAGCGCCGAGTGGGTTGTTGTGCAACCGTATCGTGCTTTTAAGGTTGAACCGTTGAAAAGATGAATTTCTAGAATGATGTTACTGTTCAGGTCAAAATAATATTCTTTTAGAATAGATCATATTAAAAAGTTGATTAAAAGCTTTTGGATTTCCTCAAAAACGGATTGATTGGATTATTGAGTGTGTAACCAAAGTCTCATACTCTTTAAAGATTAATGGCACTTCCACTGAATGGTTTAAACCATTAAGAGGCCTATGACAAGGAGACCCACTATCTCCCTACCTCTTTATTCTTTGCATGGAAGTTTTAATAAGGAAACTTTCTATTGGAAGTCTTAAAACCAAAGTCGGAATAGGCTTTAAAATTTGCCCAAGATCCTTTAATATCCCTTGTCTCTTATTTGCAGATGATAGCCTAGTTTTTTGTAAGGCCACGACGAGCTCTTGCAATAGATTAATAGCTATTCTCGAGGATTTTTGCAAAATTTCAAGTTAATTGATTAATTTTCACAAATTGTCAATTATTTTCTCGAAGAAAATTCCAAATTCAAGGCGAATCGAGTTAGCAAGCCAATTTAACATGACCCTAAAGTCATGTTTGGGTCGTTACCTTGGAGTGCATTTCAATTCCTATTTTCCTAAGAAAGAAGACTACAAGCTTATTCTCCAAAAAACTGAAAAAAGAATTCAGCATTGGGAATCTGGTTTTCTATCAAAAGTTGGACAACATACCCTAATTCAAAGCAATTTAGAGGCTTTACCCTCTTACTTGTGCTCATCCTCTCTTTTGCCAAATGACATTACAACGAAGTTAGATTCCCTACATCGAAACTTCTTTTGGAGACAACAAAAGGATAAAAATAGTATCCCCCTTGTAGCATGGGATAAAATCTGTAAACCAAAGAGCGCGGGAGGCCTTGGCCTTCGTCAAACCTTACCACTTAACAAAGCTTCTATCACTAAATTAGGCTGGAAAATTATTACAGACCCAAATAATTTTTGGGTGAAAGTCATTAAGGAAAAATATCTGGACAATTCATCCTTTTTTGAGTGCAAACACGGTGTGAAAGTTTTCCATATATGGATAAAAATTCTCGCTCAACGTGAACTCTTGAGAAAAAGTATCCGTTGGAAAATAGGTGATGGCAAGGATATTTTTTTATGGATCGATAATTGGGTGGCTAACCAAAGCCTTTTAGAGCTCATCCATATAGATGTCAATCAGGTTAATCTCGACACTAAAGTATCAGACTTTGTTCTACCAAATAAACAATGGAAAAGACAAAAATTAAGGGCTCTTCTTTCTGAAAACGTTACAGCCCAAACTATGGGCATTCCACTACCCCTCAATGATATGATGGACAAACCTATTTGGGGACTAACTACGCATGGAAACTTCAGTTGGCTTTCTTATAATCTCAAAGATAACAATTGGCTCCATAGATGGATTTGGAAAATAGACATCCCTCCTAAACTCCAAATTTTCCTTTGGCAAATATTTTATAACAGTGTAGGTGTTCGAGACACTCTTCACAAAAGAAACATAATCCCATTCAACATATGCCCTTTATGCAATTAGCAAAATGAAACAGTTGATCATCTTTTTCTCAACTGCACTAAGACCAAAGAAGTTTGGAACCTCCTCTTATCAAAAAAGTGGTTAGATTGTTCAACCTCGTTTCTAAAACTACCAGAAACTCTAATGTACTTAAGAAAACACCCAAACACTTTAAGGAAATTTATCTTCCTCATTTGGAGTATTTGGAAAGAACGGAATGCTATTATCTTCTGTAATGAAACCTTTGACATCTTTAGGATTTACCACCAAGCATAATTTGTATGCAATGAGTGGCACCAAAGAAGTTTCATTAATACCTTCACCTCCATGGGATCTCCCATTTCGAGATCCCATAATCATTCTTCTCATACTCAATCCCCATCATCCATTTTTATATCATGGAAGACGCCTCCTAACAACTTCTTCAAGCTCAACTTCAATGGTTCGGTTCATAACAACTCAGTAGCAGCAAGAATCATCATCAGAGATAGTAGCGGAGCATTCATCAAGGCATCTACATTCAACCTCGGCAACACGAAAGTATTTATAGCGGAAGCTACGTCTCTTAATAAAGGAGTCCAACTAGCTCTTCAATGTGGCATTCAAAACATTGAAATTGAAGGTGATAACTTATTAGTCGTCAACTCAATGAAAGGTATTTGGGCAGTACCTTGGCAGATCGAGCATATTATCGAAGCTCTCAGTTTTGCAATTAGACTATCCAGCACGTCTATCCGAAGGCAAATTGCGCAGCGGAGTGGATAACTAATGTGGGCCATTTAGTTTGTGGTAGTATGGATATTGATGTTTGTAATAACTCTAGTTTGTTTTCTATACTTTCTTCTGATACATTAGGAATTCCCCTCGTGAGGAAGGCTTTCTAATGTTTTAATTTATCTTACCTTTTAAAAAAAAAAAAGAATTAAAATATATATATATATAAATAAATAAATAAATAAATAAATAAAGTAAGTTGATTGTAGCATAGAATTATATATGTTGAGATGGATGTGTGGGAACATCTGTGAGGAATGGAATTGTATGTTGACCTGAGGTGGGAGGTTGGGGTAATGTATATTTCAAAAGAAGTCTAGAGATGCCACATATGTCTTGGATAGAGGGAAGTATAGAAATGACATTATACATGTGGGTTTGAAAAAGCTGTCTTCTAAGCTCATCTAAATCTGTGATTCTGTAAGCCTGATATGAAGATTGTAGGGCTTGCTCCCTTTCAATTAAATGAAAAATGAACTGTGGAAAGGTTTAAACAGAAAATTTGAAAGCTTGTGGTATGCAAGTGTCGCAATATGTTAACTCATTTGTCCTTACTCATATGCAGGTTTACTAGGGGAGAGCATCTTGTAGACGTGACAGAGATTTTCAGAGCACTTAGTGTTGAGAAGAAACACCGGTTGATCAAGCTATGTGTTTACCTATTGTTTTTCTTCTTGGTTATTTTCAGGTAATTGATTTTTATTTAAATGTCGTGTGTGTGTGTGTGAGAGAGAGAGAGAGTGTGTCTCTAATATCTATTTTTAGCAGCTTTAGATTAATTCTGAATGCCTTTTCTTGCTATATGCTCATAGATTTCCGGCAGGCTCCTTTTCCAGTTTACCAGTATTCTCATCCGAGCATGGAGACTTAGATATCCGTTCCTCTTTTCTTGAATTCTAGATATGAGCTGTTTAACATTAGCCAATGTAGAGCTTTGTAAATTCTATTGTTTGTCCCATCCTGAGGATCTTTTTCAACCTCCCCTCTCTGTTTGTTAGGAACTATAAGCTACTTTTTTTTTTTTTTTTTGTCATTTGACTTGTCTATTGCAAACAATGGATGACAAATATATTAGGACACATTTTTTTTTTTTTTGACTTCTGAAGATGATGATACTGTCAAACTTTGCCTTGTCATTTTAACTGTGAGCTTAAGTGTGAAAATCAGTAAAGTGCTAAACAACCTATCCAGGTCAAGTTATATTTAAGAAGGCGGATCGGTTGCATTGTTGGTTAATGCATCTCTTTTTGTTCTTTATGTGCTTCTGCCATTATCCTATGAATTTACTGTCTGTTCACTTCACACCACATCAGGGGAGGTTGAACTATGCAGCAAAACAGCTAGGTGTAAATGCTTTGTTGGAAGTTGCCCTTAGTGGCCCTTTTTTTTAAAAAAAAAATAATAATAATAATAAATAAAAAACTCTTTTAAAAGTGATTCTGTGATGTTGGTGTGCATGGGGTTTGGAGGTATACATTGTGTGTTAATGATCACCCTGTCTTTATCAATGATGCACTACATTTATGCAGGCTTGTGATAGCTATATATAATTCTTTAGCGGATGAAGATGAAGCATTACATGGATTTTGGGTGTTCTAGATCACCAAGGTTTAATCTCCTATTAACTGTTTTCCCTTGTAAGTGCTGTTTATCTTTGAATTTTTGTCAACATGAATAATCAACTTCCATTACAGACGTACATGTAAAGAAAAGAAAGTGACTTAAAGTGCATTTTCTTTAACAGTTTTGACCTTGGGCTGTAAAACCATCAATTTTGGGCCCCATCATTCTCAGTAAGTGAAGGGACTAGTGAAGAAGGAGCGTGTCATTGATCATGGCCACTGAAACTGTCTAAGTGATGATGCCTTTACATGTCATGTTGCAAAGATGATTACACTATTTGTGGAATTGGAATCTGGCATCAAAGTTGCTTATGTTGTCTAAGATACCCAAGATAAATAAATTCAATACAAGGAACGAATACTCTCAACCACACCATGCCCTTAGACAATGCATTTGTCAAATTCCCGAACTTCACATCATCAAGCTAACCTGTGCAATACTGCTCCCCAATAATACAAGTGTAATAATTGAATCATCACAGAGTCATTGAAAGGCGAAGGTCATGATCAAAAGAAAACACACACAAAAGCATGCAATCAGCAAAGCTGAGTATATACAAGCTACATCGCACCAACCTAGCATGCACAACTAATTAAAGTAAATAAACATACATTACGAATTCATTAAACAAGACTCCTCACTTAAATAATTTAATCAACTAAACATACTTACTAACAAATTTCAATCACTTTACTCTTTATATTTAATTTAATTAATTTGGAGTAAGCAATAGATGAGGTTGTCCAACCCACCAAATCATTTTAATCCCAAATGACCATTTAAATTAAAAATATAGCACGATGTAAGAATGGGCGCGACTCCATTCTCACAAAGTTAGTCTACGTTCCTATTTAACTTTCATTATAAAATAAAAATGTAAATACCAAAAGAAAAGAGGACATGTCGATCAAACAAGTCTCGGAAAGCCACGGGCTACCACCGTGTACCTTAACTCATAATTGTCAATACTCTAAAATTGCACTCTCTAGAGTTTTATTGTCATCCATGTTTCACTTTATGTGATTATAAATTTAAATAATAATAGTCGACTCATTCAAGTAACCATACACAATAATCATACATATAATTCACTTTTATTCTTATTTAGGACAATGATGATCACACCATAAATTGACCTTTAACTGCATTAAACTTCCAAGATATTCAAATTGTTGAACATAGTTAACCCACCTAGCCATTTCGACTTAATCCACCTTTACTCAACATACTAACAAATCATGCTTGAGTAATAAATAAAATAATAATAACCTCATTGAATAATTAATAAATTCATTCCACTTAAACCATTCAATTCCAATCCTTCAATATTCCAAATATGGCTAATAAACCAATCCAATAAAAATATGCTTGTATCAACATTCCATACAAACAAGTAAACCAATTCAACATTCTTACATCCATAATTCCATACAAACATAATTAATTCACCAAACATGTCTCATAAATATAAGCACATGAATTAATTTAATGTTTAACTAAACAATTTCCATCCAAGAGTTCTCTAAACAAGAAACTAAGTTATTTCCTTTAGGTACCTAAACATGATACTACTTCCAACGAAGTATACATGTACGTATCTTGTGTAAACAATCCTTTGCGCTACTTTTAATCACTTAAAAGTCTCCTAGGGAATAATCACCTTCTAAAAAACAACCAACAACCATAAATTAATTCCCAAATTAATTTCCAGCAATATAAATTTGATTAAAACTCTTTAAAACTTCCTTCAAAACATGTTTTTATGCTTAATTAATCATTAGAAATACAATAGGAACAAAAGCCCCAATTAAAATTGCTCATTAGAATCCTAAAATCCCAATTTCAATAAATTAAAACCCTAGGTTTTAAAATCACAAAATCTAAAAATTTATAACATGTATAAAGTCTGAAAGTATGACTTTAAACAACCAAAATATAATTTTTCATAGTTAGAAAACTAATTTCAAACAATTAAATCAATAACCCAATACTTATATAATTATGCAAATAGAAATAGAAATAAGGGAGAAAGAAAAAGAAGAAGGCCAGCCACGGTGGGAGGCTGGGCTGGTGGTTGGTCGCCGGTGGTTAGGGGACACCGGCACCGGTTTCCGGCGAGAACAGGCGGCGGCAACAGGCAGCAACAATGAGAAGGGGAAGCAACGTGAGTTTTTCTCACGTAAGAAGGGAAAAAGAAAGAAAGAAAAGAAAATAAAGAAAAAGGAAAAAGAAAAAGAAAAAGAAAAATAAAGGAGAAATAAAATAAGACTAACCTTTTTGTGTGGGAAAAATTTGGGGATTCATGGGGTATTTATAGGAGGAAAAATTGTCGGGTAGAATTGGAGTTCATGAAAATAATAGGCCAACTAAATAAATAAAATGGGTTAGGCTTTGTTTTTATGGTCATGAATTGTAGAATGAACACATAAAATTTCTTTGGTAATAAAATAGTTTATCAACCCGAATTAATAATTTGCAACTTTTGAAATTAAATTTCGGAAAAATATAAATATATATTATAAATAAAATAATTATCATTTATAAATTATTTAAAAATACGGGGGATTAGATATCCCTTTTTAAAAACAAAAACACTTATTTACAAAATTGTCATTACTAATCCTATTCCTACTTGAAATCTCCTTTGGGGCTAACTTGTTGGGCCCTTAAACACATGGCACTGATAGAAATCTATATGTTGAAGAAGGATTTTCCCGAAGGCAAAAGTAAGAACCATCGCACACAGGAAGCTCAAGCCGAAAGCGATCGCTTTCGTGAGTGGTTATGCCGGATCTCTCAGCCCATTCATAGAGGAATCCTTTTCCGAATTTTTCACCATTGTGACCCCCCTGGAGAAGGAGGATTCCCACTTCCATAGTTCTTCGAAAGGTGTCAGCAGGTGCGCGGAGCCGGAGCCCGGCATGTTCGCCCGCTGGGCCCAACAAGTTAGTCCAACACTTTTATGATGTTGACCCAAATTAAACACTTTATTGCCCCTATTACTAGCTCATATTATTTTATATACACTTATTTTACATTTAAGTAATTAATTCTTTTTCCCCTCAAAAAAAAAAAAAGTAATTAATTCTTTTAAAATGAAATAAATCATTTTAATTTATAAATAAAATAAATAATTTATGTTTATAAAATATTATAAAAATATGGAGTATTAAACCAACATATATCTTGCAAAGATCAACTTGAGGAGGTCCAATTTGTAGAGTCAAATGCTTTCATGATTCTGTTTGCTAAGATCGGTCTTGCCCAGAGGCATCTTGCGGGGGCGTGTAGAAAGATAATACCATATAGAATCAATAGTTAAAGTTGTTACCTAAGATAGTTTGTTCATTCCTAGTTTAACTCTCTTGTATTTATCTCTTTGTTACTCGTATTAGTTTGTTAAATATTGGTCAATACTCCATATTTATCTCATGTACTTAGTATTTATTACCCCTTGTATTCAGTATACACTAAGGGCATGCATGGAATGGGGGTAATGTATTAAGGGGTAGTAATAGTCATACAAAAGAAAATGAAGATGAATTTAGATAGTGATAGTGTGATTGCACAGTAAATGAGGTAGTGATGGAGTGATGATACAGGAGGGAGGGGAAACTATTACTCTCATTTTGGGGGTAATTGTCATCCTAGTGTGATGGCGGGTAACTATTACCCCCATTATGAAGTAATAATCTCCCCATCTCTCTCTCTCCCTCATACCATTACTAGCATCTTTCCTTAGTATCAACTTGAATTACATTAATTTTTCTTGGTTTGACTATTATTACTCCTTTAATTTATTACCGTCAATTCAAGCATGCCATTATTTGTGAGAACCAGGAAAACAACCGTTATTATTTAAAAAGTGGTGGGGCTGCCCTCAATCTAAGCATGCCCGTCAGTACTCTCCACGCACTCAAACTCCAACCTCACTTTCTCTCTCCTCATCACCACCCCCTTCGGCTTCAACAGTACATCTCCTTCAAATCCACCGGTCGGATTTTAGGGGTGGGGTGGTCGAATTTGGGAGGGAAATGTGGTGGGGCTGCCGAATTTTAGAGGGGAAGGTGATGGAGTTATCGAATGTGAGAGGGGAAGGAGGTGCGGTTGTCGGATTTTGGAGGGGAAGGAGATGCGGTGGTCGTATTTTGTAGGGGAAGGGAATAGGTGGTCGAATTTGGGAGTGGAATGTGGGACTGCTAGATTTGGGAGGGGCTACCCGAATTAGGGGGTACGGTGGGAGGAGAAGAGGTGGCCGGAAAGAAGGGGGAGGGTGTGATAGGCTCTACAGGGAAGGTGGTTGAAGGGGAGGATTTTTATTTTTTTTATTTTTTATTATTATTATTATTAATTGATTATTTTTAAAATAAATTATTTTTTTATAAGACATGTGTAAAAAAAAATCTAACCAATCATAATGTGACACGTGTCCTTCCTTAACCTATTAAACAGGTTACCGATTTTTTATCTTATTTTTAGAAGATCATGTGAAAGGTTGTTTTGTTAGGAATTATCTATAGGTGGTTTTATTTATGACACGCCAGGCAAAGGTCGTGAAATTCCTGGCAATATCTCCTTAAAAATCTAAGTCTAATCCAAACATAAAATTTTCAAAAA